CACAGCAGGCCAAGCAGCATCAGAGGAGCGGGAAAGCTGACGTTTTGGGCCTAGAGGAAGGGTCTAGGCCCGAAACGTCAGCTTTTCTGCTCCTCTGATGGTGCTTGGCCTGCTGTGTTCATCCAGCTCTACACCTGGTTATCTCATCTTCCTATGTGTCAGGTATATCTCCAGCCACTGGAGAGTTTGCCCCTGATACCCATTGATTCCAGTTTTGCTAGGGCTCCTTGATGCCACACTCGGTCGAATGCAGCCTTGATGTCAAGGGCTGTCACAATCCCTTCACCTGGTATTCAGCTCTTTTGTCCATGTTTGAACCAAGGCTGTCATGAGATCAGGAGCTGAGAGGCCCTGGCGGAACCCAAACTGGGCATCACTGAGCAGGTTATTGCTGAGTAGGTGCTGCTTGATAGCACTATTGATGACACGATTGAGTGTAGACTGATGGGGCAGTTATTGGCCAGGTTGGATTTGTCCTGCTTTTTATGTACAGGACATACTTGGGTAATTTTCCACATTGTTGGGTAGATACCACTGTACTGGAACAGCTTGGCTAGGGAGTGGCAAGTTCTGGAGCATAAGTCCTTAGTACTATTGTTGTCAGGGCCTGTAGCCTTTCCAGTATACAGTGTCTCCGACCGTTTCTTGATATCAAGTGGCGTGAATTGAATTGGCTGAAGACTGATATCTGTAATCCTGGGGACCACTGGAGGAAGTCAAGATGGATCATCCACTCGGCACTACTGGCTGAAGATTGCTGCAAAAGCTTCAGCCTTGTCTTTTGCACTGATATGCCAGGGCCTTCCATAATTGAGGATGGGGATATTTGTGGAGCCACCTCCTCCAGTGAGTTGTTTAATTGTCCACCACCATTCACGACTGGATGTGGCAGGACTGCAGAGCTTAGATCTGATCCATTGGTTATGAGATCACATAGTCTGTCAATTGCTGGTTATGCTGTTTGGCATGCAAGTAGGCCTGTTTGGTGGCTTCACCAGGTTGACAGCTCATCTTCAGGTACGCCTGGTGCTTCTTTTGGCATAGCCTCCTGCACTCTTCATTGAACCAGGGTTAATTCCCTGGCTTGATGGTAATCATCGAGTGGAAGATATGCCAGACCGTGAGTTTACAGATTGTGCTAGAGTACAATTCTGCTGCTGTTGATGGCCCAGAGCAGCCAATGGATGCCCAGTCTTGAGTTTCTGGATCTGTGTGAAGTCTGTCCTATTTAGCACGGTGATACTGCCACACAGCACGATGGAGGTTATTCTCGATATGAAGGCGGGACTTTGTCTCCAAAAGGACTGTGCGATGGTCACTCTTACCAATACTGTCATTGACGGATGCAACTGCAGCTGGTAGATTGGTAAAGATGAGGTCTAGTATGTTTTTCCCTCTTGCTGGCTCCATCACCACATGCGGCAGACCCAGTCTCTCAGTTATGTCCTTTAGGACCTGACCTGCTCGCTCAGTAGTACTGCTACCAAGCCACTCTTGGTGGTGGACATTGAAATCCCCCACCTAGAGTACATTTTGTGCCCTTGCCATCCACAATGCTTCCTCCAAGTGTTGTTCAACATGTATTGATTCATCAGCTGAGGGAGGATGGTATGTGGTAATCAGCAGGAGGTTTCCTTGCCCATGTTTAACCTGAAGCCATGAGACTTCATGGGGTCCAGAGTCAGTGCTGAGGACTTCCAGAGCAACTTCCTCCCGACTGTATACCACTGTGCTGCCACTTCTGTTGGGTCTGTCCTGCCAGTGAGACAGGACATATCCAGGGATGGTGATGGTAGTGTAAATTTAATTTAGACAAACGTGAGATGTTGCATTTTGTAAGACAAACCAGAACAGGACTTGCACAGTTAATGGTAGGGCCCTGGGAAGTGTTGTCGAATTGGGGTCCAAGTACATAGTTCCTTGAAAGTGATGTCACAGGTAGACAGGGTGAAGAAGAAGGCATTTAGCACACTTGCCTTCATTAGTCAGAGCATTGAGTATAGGAGTTGAGATGTTGTGTTGCAGCTGTACAGGACATTGATGAGGTCACCTTTTGGAGTGCTGTGTACAGTCTGGTTGCCCTGCTATAGGAAGGATATTATTAAATTGGAAAGGGTGCAGAAAAGATTTACAAGAATGTGGCTGGGAATGGAAGATTTGAGTTATAAGGAGAGACTGGATAGGCTGGGACTTTTTGCTCTGGAATGTAGAAGGTTGAGGGCTGACCTTTATAGAGGTTTATAAAATCATGAGAGGCATAGATAGGGTGAATAGCAAAGGTCTTTACCCTAGGGTAGAGGATTCCAAAACTAGAGGGCATAGGTTTAAGTTGAGAGAGGAAAGATTTAAAAGGAACCTGAGGGGCTAGTTTTTCACACAGGGTGGTGCATACATGGAGTGAACTGTCAGAGGAAGTGGTAGAGGCCGTTACACTTACACCATTTAAAAGACGTTTGGACAGGAATAGGAAGGGTTTTGGGATATGGTCCAACACAGGCAAATGAGACTAGTTTAGTTTGCGAAACTTGTTCGGCATGGATGAGTTGGACTGCGGGGTCTGTTTCTGTGCTGTATGACTGTGACTCAAAGGTATTAAGGAATGGCAGGTATATAAGAAGTTCAGCCACAGATCAACCATGATCTCTTTGAATGGTGAGACAGGCTTGAGGTGTTGAAAGGCCTACTCCTGTTGTTAACGGTTATGACAGGCACTATTTAAATGCAAGATTTTTTTTTAACTTTCGTTAAAACCTTTATTCCACTGAAGCTGGTAATAGTATTCCACAACTGCTTACACTATAACTTTCAGCCCAATGTCCAGTTTTATGTGCTTTCTTTATTGTGAATGCCGAAAGGCTCAGTGCTCTAACTCGCAATCTGGTCAATGTATTGATCAAATTTGTCATTGTTAATTTGGTTAAGTTTTACATTGCTCTTCTTACATTATATGTGCTTGGGAGCAAGTTGAAATGTTGTAAAGATGTTTGAGATGATGAAATATTTGTGATTGAATTTTCGTCTCTGAAAATATTGCCTGAAAGCCAATACTTAGACTTAAATAATGATGGTGGTTATATATGTGTAGCTTTTGTCAACCTTCTTTGCAAAAAAGTGCATTTATTTGTACATGTCTGAGATATGTGACCTGTGAAAAGTAAGTCTTCACTGGTTGTATAGCCTGTGTTAAGGTACTGACACCATAGTTATTGATGGAAAATGTGCTAATCCTTTATGTATCAGCCCTCAGATAAATCAGAAACATTTCTTATTCCAGTTTTTTCCCATCATCTTTTGAAGCCAATAATCTGTGCTGACAGCTTCCAGTAGATCATCTAGATACCCCATTTAGATTCATGTGAATAGACAGTGAATGTTGGCAAATCAAACCTCAGATTTCCTGCTCTGCGTGGTTTCATTAGGAGAACCAATACTTTCAGCCAGAAAAAGGAGCTTTTGATTTTATATTTTGCAAACATCTTGCTGTTGCATGTTATTACTTAGCAGTGGAGCAGATGTCTAGACTGGACAATACTGGGTTAATCGTTTGAATCCTGGCTTGTTCTGTTAAAGATATGTCCCTGTAGCCTATTTGTGGCAGATGCTTTCTGTTTGGCTCCAGTAAAGAAAATGTCAGCTGGTATCATTCAAGTTACACAAAGCCAAAACTTCACTGACAACTTTCTCTTTCATCGCTTAGCCACAGAATGTTTTGGTTGAGGAAGGGGGAAGGATTATGGCCACTGATAATTATAGGGTAGATTTTGTAAATAAGTTCAGGATTACATTAACCAGCACTACAAATAAAATAGACAGAATTAAACATCAACTATCAAATGCCTTTGAAGTTCATATCATTTGAAGTTGATTTTGCTTTTATACGCATAGTTAATGACTGCAGAGTAGAAATTTATTGCTCAGTAACTGGATCTTCTGATTGAACTAAAGGCCAACCACAGTAGCAAATGTCGTACTTCAGAAAAAGAGTTGGTAATTTTTTAATTGGAAACCAAGTTTATAAGACAACCATTGCCAATGCAGTGGAGCAATTATATTAAAATGTCAAGATATCCAACATCAAAATAGATTCAAACCAAACTAAAGAGTATAACCATTTTGGCATAACATCCATTCTGGTCAACTTGTTATAGTTTGCTTTCTCTGTATGTTGAGGCATTGAGCTGTAATTGTAAGTCAACTTAAATTATTTTTTGAACAGCATACATGGTCTTTTGTTTTTGCAACAAATATTTCTAACTTAATTACAGTTTAGTTCCCTAAGATTAAAATTAATCCTTTCTGAAAAAGAGTCATATTGGACTCAGTTAACTTTGTTTCTGTCCCCATAAATGCTGCCATATCTGCTGAGTTTCTTCAGCATTTTCTGTTTTTCTTTCAGATTTCCATCATCTGCAGTATTTTGCTTTTATAAAATTAATTTTTCCTGCTGTAATACTGCTGAAGATGGTTCAAAATTCTAAGTTATACGATCTTGAGCTTGAATTCTTTAGCCTTGAGATTATATCATGAGACAGATCTATGCTGAAAAGAAAAATGGGTAAAAAATATTTTGACTTTACTAATCTGCATATTGTAGTGTTTTTTTTCTAACCAATATCCAAGTACAGAAAAGCATTCTACTAATATAAATCTGCAGTGAGGAAAATATACATTTTTTTCTGAGGTAAATTTACAAGACATAATAAATGACAACAGACGTAGAAATTTGATATGACATTCAATGAGTAGTTACGTACGTTTTATCTCCAGACCTGAATGCTTTGACATGATCAGGTCGAAGCTCACTTGGCGCATTTGAGTACACAGACCTTTTACTCAATATAGTTATAACACCAGGTTGGTTATGTAAATTGTCATTTCTAAATGAAGTGCAAATTAATAGACAATTTAGATCCAGCTGTTGGTTGCGTTCAGTAAGCTTAATGTAGGAAGTTAGCTAATAGAAGTATAAACAATTTAAGATTTTATTTTATGTTTTGTAGTCTTGCTAAGGGTGATCCTGCTGCCTTTCTACCAATCATCAGTTATGCCTTCACCTCATATTCCACACATGTGACCGAACAGCTACTAACATCTGGAGTAGAACTTACAGCAAAGAATGACTCACGTTTCCTTGATGCCGTTTATAAGGTACAACTCTTTTTACTGGTGAGCAATGTTCAACGCTGAAGCTTCTGCATGCTAGATTTATTAAATGGTAGAAATATAATTTGTTTAGTCTTTTTGTAAATTAACTTTTGTCTACATGTTTAGCTGCTAAATTTCTTGTAGGGAGATGTACAAATGTACGTTACATCCACTAATTTTTGTTTACTCTTAACTCTTCTCCTTTTATTTGCTTTTCTTTGTCAGTGTGCCGCCTGCAAGCTCTGCCACTTCTTTGCAAATAGTCTTTTGTCCCATGTGACCAAAGGTGTTCTGCATCCTAAAGGTTCAATGATTGAATGCATCAACTTTTTTTTTATCCTTCCCTAGCTTGGAGGTACTAATGCCATTTTAAAATATCTGTACTGCAATCCTGGCTTAAACCATTTAAATTCAAACTTAATATAGTATTCGAATCAAAGAGCAAACCTGTGATCTTCCTGGCTTGTGCACGTTTTCATTGAGCTGGTGGGACTTCTCCCAAATTAAATGGTAATAAGATCATTTGAATGATTACTGATGGAGACTCATATTGTCTTTCTCTCTCACTACTTCACTTGCTCCTTCCTCTGCTGTCACCATACCTGTCACTTCTTCAAAAGCATAAATTAGTGTAGTCTGGAAGTGAAAAATTTGGCATCACATTTTATCTCGTAAAACAAGCCTTGAATGTGCTGTTTTATCGTTATTGTTATTGATGAAAATAATTATTAATAAACTTTTTCTCCTCAATAGGATGTTGGCTTTCTTCTCTTCTGTTATGATGCTATGGTATGATTTTCCCTCTTTGGAGATGGCAGGAAAGGTTGTGTGGAAGACACATTATTGCACGGGTGGACCTTGAGGAGATACTTGCCCTCTTTCAGCCATATCAGCAATTAAGATCTGAGTAGGAAAATCCATGGTAACCTTCTCAATCCACCGCCAACTAAGTCCTTTGAATGGTCAGCAAATGACCAGTTCTTTTGCACTAAGCCACTAACAATCTGATTACCTGCTTTTGTGGCAAGTGGATGATGTAACTAGTTGTTGTGGCTGGGAACTCCACTTGCTCCAACCTAGGGGTGATTGAAGGGTAAGGATGGGATCCGGAGGTGACTGCTGAAAACCATTCCACTGCCTTGCCTCCGACCTCCATGATGCAAGCCTCCCTGAAGAAACACAAAGCAATTCTTCATAGCTGCACAGCCTGGATCTCCAGCAAAGCTCTTCAGCTTCTAATTTCTGAATCAGCTTCTAATTTCTAAACAGAAATTTCTGAAGAAGGGTCCCAATCCGAAACATCAACTTTCCTGCTCTTCAGATGCTGTCTGGCCTGCTGTGTTCCTCCAGCTCCACACTGTGTTACCTCAGCTTCTAATTAGTTGGCAGCCTCAGGCAGGGCAGGACATCAGCGACACCATTCCTGGTTAGATAAGAAGCTGATCAAACAGCACTGAAGTTCTTAGTTGCTTCATGATCTGACGAGCCTTTCAGTTGCTGGGGGCAAGAAGTTAATTGTCTCTGAGATAGTAGGAACTGCAGATGCTGGAGAATCTGAGATAACAAGGTGTAGAGCTGGATGAACACAGGAGGCCAAGCAGCATCAGAGGAGCAGGAAGGCTGACGTTTCGGGCCTAGGCCTGAAATGTCAGCCTT